GAGTTGACTGTTTCTTCTGTGACATCCCTGCCATGCTGCGTCTAGCCTGTGCTGACACCACCATCAATGAGCTGGTCACCTTTGTGGACATTGGCTTCCTGGCCCTCACATGCTTTATGCTCATTCTCACATCCTATGGCTACATTGTGGCTGCGATCCTGAGAATCCAGTCAGCAGATGGGCGTCGCAATGCCTTCTCCACCTGCGCAGCCCACCTCACTGTGGTCATTGTTTACTATGTGCCCTGCACCTTCATTTATCTGCGGCCTCGATCACAGGAACCCCTGGATGGGGTGGTAGCTGTCTTTTACACCGTCATCACTCCCCTGCTCAACCCCATCATCTACACCCTCCGCAACAAAGAGATGAAAGCAGCTTTACGGAGGCTGGGAGGCCTCAAGGAAGTGCAGCCTCACTGACCTCACCCTGCACAGATGTGGGGCAGATACAGAAATTCAAGGCAAGGATTGGACACCAAGTAATTGGGAAGATATAAGACAGAATGAGAAAGAAGGATTCACACAGAGAGTAAAGGCCTCTTAGGTAGGGAGGCTAAAGTTGGAAAATTCCACATTGTAACTGTTCTCAAATAGGACTTTCTATGTCTCCCTTCATTACCACTGAAAACTTTGTTAACAAAGGTATCAGCTTGAAGGAAAGATCCAAGATAAGAAAACTTCAACACAAAAGTTCCATCTCTGTGGCATCCATTTACATGTACATGATAGCTTCTAATCCCTGTGTTGATCCTAATAATCTCCATGCAAATCATTTGATTTGAACTTGACAACAATTCTGTGACATAGGTATCATTATTCTCATGAAACTGTGGAGAAATTGAAATTCAAGGAAGTAAGTTGATTTTCCAGATTTCCTTCTCTCTTCCTTTTAGCTTAACATAGGAGATAAACTTGTACTTCAACTTGAGGAAGCAATTTCACCTTAATATGAGGGAGTCTTTACATGTGCAATATGCCATAACCTGAATATATCTAATCTTCTAAGCTTGAACAAAGCTTCACTTTGATAAAAATGATATAGATATATCAAGGATAACCTTCCTTGCTCTGCAAATATAAACCAGGCCTTCCTGCACTTCCAGGGATGTTAATGAAGCAGATCTTCTAAGATGGTAGGCTAGTATATATGCTGGCATACTTCTGCATTTGTTACATAGTTTGGGGGTATGAGTGTAGGGTAGGGTGCCACAGGCCATGTATCTGGTTACAAGATAATCAAAATAATAATAATCAAACTCATCTGAAGTACACCTAGATATATTTCTTCTAAGAATGTTGTCAGCATCTTAGTGGTAGTCCTTCACTCTTAGGACACCCTAAGTGCTAGAGATGCTTCTGTTGATGTTGCAAAAGTTCATGGGCAAATACAGCCCAAGAGAATCAGTATCTTCTACAGACTCAGTTTCATTTGTTAAAAAATATAATAGAGAATTATTGATTGCTATGCACCAGAAACTTTCTAAGAAGAAATGTGTGTTATCAGGGAATTCCCTCTCTATCTGTTTTAACAACAGAAATGCAAGTTTAAACATAAAAATATGCAAGAAGAGTCAATTCAGTTCAACTTATCACAAATGAATTCAGTTTAAATCCAAAATAGTGACATTGTAGTCCATTCCAAATAAATTTCTAATCTTGAGAAAAATTCATTTACATAGGAAGCAAAGAGATAAAATACATGACCAAAAAATTAATAAGAAGCTGTTGATATAATTAAGTATCCAGTACATATTGTTCTGGAAAAGAAGAGATAAAGATATCACTAGGCCTGGAATTTATCAAGCTAGTTACTTGGAAAAATGTAAGATTGTAAATGTAAGAAATGTGAGGTTTGTAAGTCTTGTAAGACCTTCATAGGAAACAAGCACATAGAATTCTTCATATGATAACAAGACTATAATCTATAATGTTCTTTCATTTACTGTCTTTTTGGGAATTAATGTAAAGTTTATGTTAATTTAATGGACAAATTTTTTAAAAAAATTCAATCTTTGAAGTATTTTACAAAGTCAATTCTGAGACAGATATTAGTAAAACTTTTTGTTTTAAATATAAATATAAATTTGTCGGGCCTCTGGCAAGATAAAATCTTTTATAAAGGCAAAAGAATTAGAGTTGTCAACAGATCTTCAACGGAGCATACAAAGTGGCCAACACACAAAGCAAACCATCCATATAACAACATGTTTCACAAAATTCAGTGAAACAAAATGTGACTGAATAATTTTATATTCTGTCAATGAATCCTTCAGAGAAGAAGGCCACATGATAGCAATGTTCAACACATGAACTACTTAAGGAATTTTTTATTTATCAGCCTTCTGATGCAATCTACTAAAGAATGAACCTTAGTCAACCAAGTGATAACTGGGAGAACTTCAGCAAAAAGATAATGAATAGTTTAATTTACAAAAAATATACACCCAAGACTAAAACAATCATAGGAAGAAAATTAAAGATTAATTTACAAATGTTTTATGTTCTGATGAAGTGGAAATATTTCAAGTAAAAAATGAGAGAAATGAGCCAGGCGTGATAGCACACACCCATAATCCTTGAAACCCAGGAGGCTACATTATTGAACCACCAATCACAATATCCACATTTTAAACCTAAGGACAGTAGGAACAGAGAAATCAATCGTTATCCGTATCTTTCAGCTACTCAAATAAACATAGCTTCCTCTACTTATACTGTTCTATCTCAAAAGTGCTAATGAGAAAATAGAGAAATGTGTTTCTTTCTCTGTGTTCCCCATGGGGAGACAGGACACATAGATCACAAAAAAATTCCAAAGCAGAACATGATTAGGTAATTATTAATAATTATCAAGATTTCTGTTAGGCTTCAGGAATTAATAAATTAGTGTGAGGGAAAACATTTATAAGGGCTCCCTTAGGAATTAAGTTTCAAAATGAAACCTAGAGAATACATTTGGGGAGGTAGATATTAAAGCATTTCATTTATGTTTATCATGGAATGCTATGATGGGATCAGAGAGAGATTGTGGCATATAGAGGAGAAAATGAATGAACAAATAGCATTCTTGGGTAAGAAAAGTTTCTTTAGGGGACTTCAGGAGAAAGATTTTTATGATAAAAGAAATAGTTTATAGGTATTTTCAAAATTTCACAAATAGATGCACTCTGTGTTATAGGTGCAGAGTTATAGAAAATAATATTCCTACAAGATATCCCCCTGAGAGAAACGGAGGAATAGTATGGTTCCAGAGGAGGGAGGGAAATTAGACAAACATTAAACCTCTCCCAGTATATCCTTTCCAGTAACATTGGGCAAACTCTCATTCTTTCCTGGGTTCACCACCAGCATCTCCACCAAAAGCAAACATTCACCCCTTCCCAACCACAATGGGTCTTGAAGGGAGGAGGTGGACACTGAAACAACTGGGCCCTGGACTTTTACCCTTTCCCATTGCCCATGAATCCTGGAAGGCGAAAAGCAAATAGTGAAGCTCTGGATATCAAAAGGTCCCAGAGGAAGGAAGATAAGTAGTGAACACCGAGTTCTGAGCTTTTCTCAGTGACAATGAGTCTCAAACTTTTTACAACTGCCTTCCTGGTTAAAATTTTAACTTGCACAACTAGGTCTCGGACTGTCCAAACTATATGTCCACAGTCTCCAATGATTAATTCACCCTCATTGTAAACTATAAAACTCAGACTCCTTCGTAACCCAAGGGCCATTTCCGTACCCAGAAATGAGCCCTCCCATGCCTCTGCTGCAGAATAAAAGAAAAGCTTGCTGATCCCCTTGAGATCTGATTCAGTCCCGGTTATTTGTATTTTCATTATGGTGCTGAAACCATATTGGTTAGTTTTGCTTACAATAGGCAATGCAGATCAGTAAAGAATCATTTACTATATTAGGGAGTAAGTAAGAGAATGCACATAAAATGCCATTGTGAAAATCTAGGCATAAAATAAACAAAGGCAGGTAGGCATGGTGGCCCACACATAATCCCAGATACTTGAAAGGCTGAGGCCGAAAGATTTTTCAAGGATAATATGGGCAACTTAGCAAGTCCCTATTCCAAAATAAAAAAATAAAAATATAAAAAGAGGTAGGGATGTAGCTCAGTGTTATAGCACCCCTAGGTTCAATCCCCAGCACCAAATAAATAAACAAACATAGGCTGTGCTAGGTAAAATTCATGGGCACTGAAGACACAACTGGGGTGGGGGGGGGAGTTTAAAGAAAATTTTCACATAATACAACATCTAATTAGGCTTAGGAGGTAAAGAACGGAATGAATCAAAGAGAAATCTTGTGGCCTAAAAGAAAGGTACAACAAGAAAGAAATAGGAAAACAATTCCCAAAAATTTCAGACAAAGCTTTACAGGAAGAGCATGAAATGTACTGAACAAATTGTTCTGGTAATTATTCAGTCTACTCTCCAGGGCTTCATTGTCATACACTTGAGGGTTGTGGGCAACTGAAATTGCAGAGAACTCCCTCTGTGTGAGGGTTAGGTGGGGATGCTATGTTCCTGGATGATGCAATAGCACTCAACATCTAGCCAAAGCTCTCCCAGAGTGAGATGAAACTCCCAGATGACAATGATAAGAACCTGGCTTGTGCACATCAAAAGCATGACTGAATAAATTAGGAGGGCAGAGGCATCACAATTCTAGAATATATACCAAAAAAAAGGATATACTCAATGAAAGCAGGACTTATAATACTTTTTCTTATAGCCGTAATTTAGGGATTATCTTTCTGAAAATAATCCTTTCAGTCCATTATGTGTTTCACAAGGAGTTCAGATTATTCTTTGAAAGATTTATTCTGAAAGAACAGGCAACAAGAAAACAGAAGAATAAGGCAAAACTTCAACTGAATTCTATCTTTTTCTCACTTATGGGAGAAACCACCATGGCATCGCTAGATGGATAATGATATTAGGGGAAAGGTAAACAACTATTTACTCTATTAACTCAGTTTTGTTGCAGAGGTTAAGTACCTACTCTGTATGTGAGAAGATGGAAGTGAAGACAGAGTACCCTAACCAGACTGTGGTGAGCCACTTCTTCCTGGAGGGTCTGAGGTTCACAGCTGAACATCCTAGCCTCTTCTTCCTCCTCTTCCTCCTCATCTACAGCATCACCATGATGGGAAATCTCCTCATTCTCATAACTGTGGGCTGTGATCCTCAACTCCGTTCCCCTATGTATCACTTCCTGGGCCACCTGTCCTTCCTGGATGCGTGTTTGTCTACCGTGACAGTACCCAAGGTCATGGCTGGCCTGCTGACTCTGGATGGGAAGCTGATCTTCTTTGAGGGCTGCACTATACAGCTTTACTGCTTCCATTTCCTAGCCAGCAGTGAGTGCTTCCTGTACACAGTCATGGCCTATGACCGTTACCTGGCTATCTGTCAACCCCTGCACTACCCAGTGGCCATGAACAGGCGGATGTGCGCAGGGCTGGCTGGGATCACTTGGGCAACAGGTGCTGTGCACTCTGCAGTCCATACCTCTCTCACCTTCCACCTGCCATACTGTGGGCCTCACCACATAGCCTATTTCTTCTGTGACATTCCCCCTGTGCTGAAGCTGGCCTGTGCAGACACCACCACTAATGAGCTTGTCATGCTTGCCAACATTGGCATTGTGGCCGCAGGTTGCCTGATCCTCATCGTCATATCTTACGTCTTCATCGCGGCAGCTGTGCTGCGCATGCGCACAGCCGAGGGCCGGCAGCGGGCCTGCTCCACGTGCACCGCCCACCTCACCGTGGTGCTCCTGTACTATATGCCGCCTGTCTGCATCTACCTGCAGCCAAGCTCCAGTGGGATAGGAGCTGGGGCGCCTGCTGTCTTCTACACAATAGTCACTCCCATGCTCAACTCTTTCATTTACACTCTGCGGAACAAAGAAGTGAAGCGGGCCCTCCGCAGACTGCTCTGGCGTGGTTCCCTGGAGTATCCAGCAAGGGGCCCACCCCAGTAAGCAGAGCTGTCTTGCCCCGGACTTGCTTGCCAGGAAAACAGTTATTCAAGTGTCAAAATGAGCAGGGAAACTCATTTGAGCCAAAATCAGAATAACTGAGTTTCGGTCAGCCGCGTTTTCCCTGCTTTGGCCTCAATGTCACTGTCATAAACTTATCACCCATTAAATGAAAGAATTAGATTTAGTTGGTGTTTAGACTCTCTCAGAAATCTAAGCTCCACGACTCAAAGGTACGTGAAATGCTGTTCAAATCCTATTTTAGAATTTTTTATACTTTTTTGAAAATTATTTTGTTTGATGTAGAATACACATTAAAGAATTATAAAAATAAAATATCATGCAGCTTAAGAGACCACATTGTTTTAGAATGAAAAAATATAACTGCAAAGAGAAAAATGACTTTCCCAAGGTCACTTAGAAAGTGCCATTATCTTATTTCTCCTACTCCAGGTATTAAGATAACTAAGATCATACTGATTAGTAGAAATAATATAGTCTTGGAGGTGACAAGTTTAATGCAAAGTTCTAATTAAAGCAGTTTGCCATATAAGTAACAAAAGTTTTTTGAAAATGAATCCTTCAATTACTCTGGGATAAAAGGAACCTTGACTGCCAACCTGAAGAATTTATTATTCACCAGGCAGCATGCCTTTTTTTTTTAATGCATTTCTTCTTTATCTGTAGAAATGTTCTTATCCTGAAAAGCCACTTTTTAAATGCTAAATCATGGGGAAAATGAAAGAAGATGGGGGGAAAGGAGAGGCCATTCTATAGAACGACTAGTATAAGCTATGATAATATCCTAGACTTAAGAAAAAAATCATTGTTACATTCAGTGATGACACTGGAGATGGACAGGCATCCATTTCAAATGGATGGTGTCTAAGGAAGAAATACAGAACTACAGGAATGGGAATAGAAACTACACTCATCCTTGACATACATAACAACCTCAAGGCACTGTGTGAGTTGCTTTATCTATATTTTTGCTTTTATTTACATTTTCCAGATGTGGCCATCAAGACCTAGAATGGTTAAATATCTTTTACAAGGTCATGCAAATAATAGTATTTGAAGCCAGAATTTCAATTCAAATCCATACGATTTCAAAGACCACATATTTCAGTTATAAGATAGGACCTTAGAGGTAAATCCTGCACCCATTGTTTGCCCAGTAATATTAAAGTTCTCAAAATCATTTTAGGGCAGATCTCTCAATCAAAGCAGATTATCTTTGAAACAAGGATTATATGACTTTTGAATAGTGACCTAGTGCTCTATAAATGTGGTTTCTGAACCAGCATTTTTTTTTAAAGGAAAAAGAAAGAAATTGCATTTCTGATGCAGTATTCATCTAGTCTCCCCTTTTCTAGTTATTGAACTATCTGAAGGAAGAACACAAGTAACTCAGGCAAACTCATCATTCCCATCAGAGTAAACTTCAAGCATAGGTGCAACATACTAGAGAATCAAATACAGAATGGGAGATGATTCTAAAGCAAGCTGTGGTCCTGTTCTACACCATTCTTCAATCTTGCCAAATGGCTGCCTTCTAGAAATTAAAAGGTAGATGATGTGAAAAGATTGTGGATATGCAAATCCAGTCATATTATTCTCTTCTCAATTTCGGTCTTACCACTTTTATATATGTCTATTCAGTAAGAATCCTTCACTGTCTTGAATTCTGCTTCTCCATCTTTCATATCTGTCTCTCTGGCAGCATGACAGTCCCATTATTTTGCTTGGTGTAAGCCTTCATAATGGCACTACCTGATATTCTACTTTATTTAATTATTAAATATTTCATGTTCATAACTAGATTTTAAAAACCTTAAGAGCTGGGACCCCTTTAACTGTTATGTGTTCCAGACAAAGATATCATTAAAATATTAATTTGTTCAATCTAATATTCAGAATCTAGAAATAAAACAAGGCACATATCCACTTTTCCTAACAGTTTCCAAGTAAGAATATTTGTAGGAGAAAACAAAATTATTAATCTTATTTTTTCTCCTTTCAGATATTTCTTTGCATTTGATTGTGACATTTAAGATACTTGGTTTAGCTATACAATTACAAATTCACTTGAAAATTAAAGGGGAAAGGGACCAAATAATTAATAATAATTAAAATGAAAAGCATACTTGACAAAAGGAAGATAGCAACATAAATTTATCATTTTCCCAAAGTCTCCACAAGTAAACAGTACTTGAACTGATGTTATGAACATATATATTCATCTCTATGCTGGATAGATGTCAAATGGACGAGAATTAAAAACGTCATTTAAACAGGACAATTTTTAGAGAAGACTTTGCTATGACTAATTAAGCATTCTTACTATTAGTCATTGATCCAGTAACATTTGCCAGAAATGTTGTAGAAATGTATAAACTTTGGAGTCAAATGTTGTAGAATGTGTTTTACCACTCCTTAACCAAGGAAGATTGTCTCTGAAATAAGGATTTCTGCTCTTTGAATTGCTGAATTTAGAACATCCTTCATTATACACATATACATATTCAAAAATTTATCAAATTATAAAATATTGGGACAGTTCATTTTTCCCAAAGTGAACATAACAATATTTCCCACCCCAATATCACCCACCTCTGCCTTGTTCTTGGTCTTAAGGAAAAGAATTTAGATTTTCATAATTAAGTATGATTTTAACAGTAGGATTTTCCTAGATGCCATTTACCTGTGTTTTTTTTTTTTTCTATTCCTGTTTGTTTATATTTTTATCATGAATGGATGCTGGATATTGTCAGATACTTTTTCTTCATCTACTAAAATAATCGTGTATTATTTTTAATTTTTATTGAAATGGTCATGTACTTTTTAAAAATCGGCTAATATGGTGAGTTACAATATTTTATTTTCAATGCTAAACCAATCTGCGTTTCTGGAATAAATCCCAGTTATTCAACATGTTATCCTTTTATGTAGTGGTGAATTTGACATGCTAAAATTTGTTCAGTGTTTTGTGTATGTGTTCTCAAGGGATATTGGTTTACAAATGACATTTACTCCAAAGTTTTTGTCACTTTCTGTATCAGAATAATACTGACCTTATAAACTGAGATGTAAGTATTCTAAGCTCTTCAATTTTCTAGAATAAGCATTATTTCTTTCCTTAATTGTTTGATAAAAATCACTTGTGTGATTGTCGTCACACATTGTCGTCCTACTTCCACAATTGTTAACAGTTACACAACACATTGCTATATTTCTTGATCTGAGTAATTATTTTCAAAAAAAAATTCAAGATGGGCACAATGGCATGGTACACTCCTGTAATCTCAGCAAGTCAGGAAAGCCAGGACAATTGCAAGTTCCAGGCCAGCCTAAGCAAGTTAGCAATGCCCTAAGCAACATAGCAAGACTCTGTCTCAAAATAAAAAATAAAAAGGACTGTGGATTAAGCTCAATGGTAAAGCACACCTGATACCAAATCCTGAATATCAAATAAATAAATAAAATGAAAATGGATTTGTATTTACCCATCTTATTACCATTTCTAGCACTCTTTATTTCTTCGTGTAGACAGAGGTTTGAATCTAGCATTATTTTTCAAAGTCTTAAAGAGCTTCCTATAACATTTCTGGCACTGAAAGTGTGAAGGGAATGAATTCCTTTAACTGCTATTTCTGGAAAATTCTTAACTCTATATAATTTGTCTTAAACTTTTATCTTTTGATACATGTAGACTCACAGGCAGTTTTAACAAATTATGCAAAGACAATGTCATCAAGATGGCAGAATAAGAGTTCAAGTAATGTTTACTCATCCTATTACAAAAACATCAATTGGAACAACTATTCACATATAAAAATATATTTACAATAGCTAAGGAATCCAGGTGATAGCACCTAGGTGGACCAAAGAACTATGAAGAGTGTGGTAAGGACAGTCTTACATTTCACACATCACTTCTCCCCTAAGCCTAGACAACACAGCTAGGAGACAAATATGTACCCTTTTCATGGGATAGGAGAGTGACATTAGCACCAGACATTGCTGTGGACCCTAGCACTAAACTTGAAGAAACCTTGGCCTCAGGCTAGCGTGTACACCCCCAGGCTCCAGCTAGCAGAGTGAAGGATGATGAAGACCAGAGAATAAATAACTGAAACAGAGACTAGATAAGTAATAGACCAGATCAATTCAACTAAGAGTTGTGGTTTTTTAAAGAAATTTAATAAAATTTTAGCAGTATTTACTAAGAAAAAAAGGAGAAATGAAGTTATAAATTAACAAGAATATATAATTGGTACTATAAAAATAGAAAGCTTCATAGGAAACAACTAGGAAAATTATGTATCCACAAATTGGATAGCATAGGAGAAATTCATAAATTTTTAGAAAAATACAAACTATCAACAAGGAAACATGAAGAAACAGAAAAGTTGAGCATAAGTAAGGAAGTTGAATCAGTAATAAAAAGTTTCCCACCAAAGAAAAATCTAGGACCTGATGGCTTTGGCTTTGATGGTGAATTATACCAAATATTTAAAGAAAAATTAATGGCAATCCTTCTAAAAAAATCCATATATATATATATATATATATATATATATATATATATAATACAATATATATATATACAATAATATATATATATATTTGTAAGCTTATATATATATATATAAGCTTACAACTTCAATTTTTTAGCTAGTATTACCTTGACTCCAAAGTCAGAAAAGTACACAAAAAGAAAATTACAATACAGTATCCCTAAGGAGCATAAATGCAAAAATCTTCAAGAAAATACTAACAAACAAAAGCCTAAAAGCACATTAATAGGATCATATACCATGATCAAATGAGATTTATCCCATGGATGTAAGGATGATTCAACCTACCAAAATCAAAAAATGTGAGACTTCATATTAAAAAAATAAGGATAGGACTGATGTTATCTCTCAGTGGTTGAGTGTTTGTCCATCATGTGTGAGGCACTGGGTTCAATCCTCAGCATCATATAAAAGTTGATAAAT